CTACTTAGGTTGTATTATGCTAGAAGGAACAAACATGATCTTTTCTAAATCCTGACGTCACTTACGTTTATTACTGAATTATCAGAATCAACTGAATTATATTCTAGCATATATCTGAGACATGGACACAAGATTGTATCAATTCACACGAAAAAAATTTTCATATTTTCTGTACTCCCAGAGAAGTAAAAACTGAGTAGTGTTCTAGATGTTTGAAATATACTCTTATCCATGGAACTATTGACCACAGTGCTCTAACTAGACTTGATTGTACCTCTTCAGATTTTAGAGTGTAATTCAAAGTACATTTCTGTATTTTATAAATGGTTATGTTTCTCCGACACTACACAATTAAACAAAAGTTTTTATAAAATCACACAATGTTTTAGACATTATTATGCATAATAATTTATGAGCTTTTCCTGCATTATAAAGTTCTATAAAATAATTTTCATATCTGATCAAATCTGATGTTTACCTTATTTTTCTCTTTTTCAGGATTCATCCCCGAAGACATGCAGACAATGTTAATTATGCAGTTAGAATCTACTTGTTCTTCACCTCTTTTTCTTACAATCTAGCAATTATTAAATTTCAAAAATAATACAGTTTGGATTTTGCTACCAACAAAAACTAAGACAGTTAGAAACTGCCACTCTAAGTGCCATGTTCCTCTTTTAGTTGGTTCTCTGTATTTATTGGTTAAGACCAGGCTGCCTACAATTATCATTTCCACAAACATCACAATTAAGCCTTAGATGAAGAGTCCTTTGTTCTTACAACAGAAACACCTCATCCTCATCACTTTGTTAGTGATTCATAGGAAAGAAACTGTGATTGTTTAGAAAAAAAATGCAGACATCCAAAGGACATTAAAACCTTCAGCATGAGAAGATTTAAAAGGAGATCTTATTAATTTTTGATTCACCATTGGAACTAATAAAAACTATTGTCCCTAAAGCCAGTTTGTACACAATGACTGCACTGCAACTACTCTAATAAGAATACTTCACCTCCATGAGCAGTCTTCAAATACCGTAGCTAAAAGATGCCACTTAAAATTTTTGCAAGGAAGAACTCTAATCTTGTCCACAGCTATTGTATACATTTAAGAAACTTACCATATTTATTTGTTTTTTTTCAAAGGCCTAACAATCTCTTTGAGGTTCATTTCAACAAGAGAAGCAATTATAATGTAATTTCCACATTAGCAAGGCAGACACTTTGAAATAACATCTATTTCATTTAAAGCAAATTCATCAAGCTATACCAAACCAATTGCATCCTGTGACAGGACAATTGCAATTCATCCATTTTATTTGCAGCAACATAGGTTTGGCCAACATGTCTGCTTCTAATTGTTGGTGGGTGGCTTTGCAGGAAGATTCTGCATCATAAACTTTGCGTCATACAACAAATGCACCACCTCACTACATAACACTGGATCTAAAAGGAAAAATGTCCTTAAAACTTGTAACAGGTCCTTGAATTTGCAGTCAGAAGAATTGATGGCCATTTTTTATCTTGTGTAACTGCAAAAGCATTCAAAGGTTTGCAAAAACAGTCCATAGTCATGCACCTTTCCCCACCTTCTCACACTGCTCCTTATCAATTTCTACTCACCTCTAAATTTTTGCTAACTACGATATTCTCCTCACAAAGCAAGGAAAATTTTGCAAACCACTCCAAGGCCCTAGCTACAAAAAGTCATTAAAAAAGAGGAAGCACCACCTACACGAGCAGTTCTGCTTAGAAACCATACAAGGAAAGGGTTCCACCTGTAGCTGAATCACCTTGCTGATGAGCATCTGAGAGATCTGCTCGGGTGGGCATCCTCAGTAGGCAGAAAACGCATGCAAATACAGTACACCAACAAGCTGCACGGCACAGTGAAGCTGCCATAGGTCTCCCTATTTCCTCTCCATCCTGTTCTGAGAATGGCAGCTGTATGTGTATCCATCCATCACGCTCTTGCAGACCTACCTAAGGTATACAGGGGGCACAGGATACGTTTGCTATTGATTTACAGTCCACCTGGACCACAGTCTACTACTGCTGCCCAGTAAAGTCTCATTGGAAAAATGAGACTTACAGATTGGTAATTGAGTTGAAGCATCCAGTTCAGTTTCACTTGCTTGACTTTAAAACATCTCTGCACTGATCCCTCTTTTAGCACGCTGTATTTTTATGAACGTTTCATAGGTTTAAGTGCATTACAAGATCAAAATGTAAGTTGTTCAAATTTTTCATTGTTTGCCTTTTTTTTCAGGTTTTTTTTTTTATTATTTTTTGGGGGGTTTTTTAGTTTCTTTTTCTCAATTTCTCTAACACATTAATCAAACGTCTTTGCTATCTCACTCCCAACAATTCTCAAGGCATTTTTCCTTTTGTTATAACCTGAACACGTGTAAAGATTTTCCTATTTCCCAGCAGGGTGTAGAGTTTAAAAGATGTCACTTGACACTAGTGACCAAGGCAGCATTTGTTACAGTTTCAATCACCAACACAACTCGGTGCCACCCCCAGACTGCAGGAAGTCCACTCCCCAGGCTGGAGTACAAGGCAGAGTTCAGCCTGAGCACTCCCATTTCCACTGCAGTTCCTGAGGCAGAAGTGAGAGAACAGACATGCACCAGGGCTCTCCCTTCATAGGAGTCAAGACACAAAAGGAAGTTACCTTGGGCCGCCAGTTCCACAAAGCCAATATTAACTCTTCAGTGGTCTATGTAACAACTCTTGTATTCACAGGTATTTCTATTTATTCCCCCTTCCATCCTTTTTAATATGGACCCTACCCAAAAGTGAACACTCAGTGGTATTTGTCATTGACCACACTAATCCAATGCATTTGCTGCTTCAGATGATAGGGAATTACACTTTACCTGTTAAAATCAAATAATACACTTTTATTTTACTACATCCATTCAACAATTACCCTTCTGTTTCTTTTAATTAGATCATCAATTGCTCCCATTGAAATAAAAATCACTCAGTCTGTTCTTTTAGGATTTTGTATTTTCCACAACAAACATTAGTTAGTTACTGTACAAGTTTCAGAAGAGTAACTGGTTTTAAAGAATGATATTCAAGACCTGTAAGCTTTTCGGTATTGCAGGTTAGAAGAGAGTTCATTATTACATTTACTGTGCCACACTTCGTAAGTCTCAGGTCCTTTATAAAAACAAAACAAAACAAAACACAAGCCCCAAAAAACCCAGATTAATTCCAACATCTGACTTTTTCTCATTACTCCATGTTGTTTTTTTTTCTCAAAGATTACTTTGATGCAATTAATGGTGAGGCTTTCACTACTGTTTTACCTATCATAACACAGCAACTACCCGGCTCGTTTTTTTGTTAAGAATGCTTTCTGTCTCTGAAGATGTTTACCCCAAATTCATTATCATGACATCCTGACTGGAGCCTTTGTTCTTCCAGAGCAGCTGCAGAACTTATAATCACTAAAAAAAACCCAATCAGAGACATGAAGGTGTCATCCATATATTTTACAAGGCTACTAGTTGTAAAAAAGAGATGCCAATGTATGAAAATGGTAAGCATAAATCCACACTTGAGTTTTTCACAGAAGCAGTGGAAGTTGCTTTGTATGAGGGTTCTGTCCTCATTCTGCAATCCCTCCACCTCAAGGTGACAACACTGCTTCTCCATCCCTTTCCTTAGTGAATTTATGACTACATTTCATTCTCTCTGGCATCTATTATTCGGTAGAAAAAAGTAAAGGCAAACACCCCAGAAGATGGCAGATTTGAGCTCAGCCAACAGCCTTTAAAAAAGCCCTCTGAGCAATTCCTCTGCTTTTAGCCTATACCTTTCAACTCCACTGCAAACCCTGTATTTAAGGAGATATGCAAAATATAGTGGAAGTCTTTATCAATCTTTATCAATAAAGGTCAATAAACTGAAACCTATCAGGTTTCTTTAGAATTATTTTTTTTTAAGCACTTTAAAAAAATCCTTAAACATTAAAAAAACCCTCAACCTTTTTTACTCCCTGGACATAAAATATACACTTAGTATAAATGTTCTATCAACATGTCTGCTCAAAAGGGGCAATGCTTTGATACTTTTTGCTTTCAGCTGTAATCCCAATATAGCTGTTTTAACAGAGAGAGATATTGGAACTGCATTACTTGTAATCAATGGCAGAAATTCAGAAGCAAGTATGTATTGTATTGTTGCATACAGTACATATATGACAATCATTCAGCCTTTCTCATTTACAGGGACATTTACACAAAAGTTGATGCAAATAAGAGAGGCAGAGTCCAGAACTTGTTTACATCTAACTTACTGTAGATATGTGTAAATTTTCCCAGCATTACATTGCCTTACTCTCTGCCCAAATTTGGCCAAATAGTGCAGTACAAATAATTAAAACTAGACATTAAATATACTTAATAAATATATATTGAGCATGCATGACCTAACAATTGCTGCATTGTACCAATGGTAGCAAAAGCTCTTACTATGCAAATTGCACAACATAATTCCACTTAAGGCAATGGACTGCTATGAATAATATGTTATTAGACTTGTAAGAAATAGAGTAGAAAATTATTATCAAACAAAAGCCTTTTAAGAGTTTAGCCACTATTATGTCTCTTTGTGATTAAGAAACAAAAGTCAGAACTGAAGATCCATTATTAGCACTGGTCCAGTTACAGATGCCCAAATATGATCAAGATGATATGATATCTTAACATGTAATGAAAGACTTCAATAAGATTTCTGAAGCTATGAATTACGTCAGGGTGCAATTTGTTTCTCTGTATTTCATTACACTGCTACTAAGTTTTTGCCTAAAGAAGAAAAGTCCATTTCATTACCAGGAATGAATGACTATGGGAATAGTCTGATTAAGTATACACTCTACCAGACAGCAGATAAATATTTCTTTATGACTAGTAAAAGTTTTGGGCTTAATTTCAAATTAATTAACAGCAAATGTAATCTCATATCCAATTAACAAAAGCACTCACCATGATTCCAGTAAGTAAACAGACCCCTTTTCCACAGTATGTATTTGGTACCATATCCCCATATCCAATGGATAGAAAAGTTATAGAAATCAACCACATTGCTCCAAGAAAGTTGCTAGTAACATCCTGTTGGTCATGGTATCTGAAAAGAAGAAGAAGAAAATTTCTTTATCATGAAAACATTTGTTAAACTATGTGCTCTCAGAAAAAAATGCATTAACTGGTCATACAACCATTTTTGTATACAATCTCATTTTAAAAGCACCTGTAAGGAATTAAATACAACTCAGCTACAATTACATCAACAGTAATGAATCACAAGGTATAAAAATAGCACCAGTAGTAGAAATGGTTCATAATTCAGTACTTGGTTATTGTAGTAAAGTAGCAGAAATCATTTTGTTTTTAAAAGAATCTCTTCACCAGGGGTACAAGTCCTGGTAATACTCTGCAGTAGCAGGACACCAGTCTACCATAGTTGCTGCAGTTTGTGGCAAATATGAGAATCAGAAAAGGTCGTGTGCACAACTAGACAGAAGAGTACACCTTCATCTCCTTGTCCTAAATGTAAGTCTATGATCAGAAATCCAATCCTGACCTAACAAATAAATGCTGACTTATACAACCTATGCTCTTCCCTCTCCTACAAGTTCAAGTTAAATAAAAAGGTATGCCATTGTATTTCTCACTATCAAAAGATGTTTACCTTAGCAAAAACTCACTTTAGTGTTAAGTCCGCTATTACATGAAATTTCATGATGTGCTATTTGTTGACTTGGTTTCAATATTATAGTAGAATATGTTAATTTTTCCCTTCCAAAAACTCCCATATTCAGATTAATAATGTTGTCTTCATATGACATATATACCTAATAGAAGGTGAAAATGCATTTTAGGTTTCAAAACCTATTGTCACCACTCACTCTGTGGTGGGAAAAAAAGATGTTTAATAGCTTAGAGTAGGTGGAATTTTGCTCCCTGGACAGAGCAGCTCTGCCATAGAGATTATCTGCAGCAGCCACCGCAGACTCAAGGTTGCAATCACCCCTGCAGCTGCTGTGAAGCCTCAGGTTAACCAAATGCTGTTAGATTCCCCAAGGGTATTATTTTAGCCAGTCCCTAAATCCGTGTCTCACAAGGGGTCACAGAGGGCCACTTATTTAATTAGTTCACAAATCCGTAAACAACCTGCTTCCCACAACTGAAATAACTGCTTCTGCTTCCTTCCTTTCCGGACCTCATCTCCGTGACGGACCGAGAATGCAGAGCAAGCCCACAGGCACTCAGGAAATTCCCTGTTCTCACACTTGTGAAATATTCACCATAAATGTCTGCAAAACACTATTTTCCAAGTTCCACCTATGCTCTTGATGATTACAGCAACATGAAAGCTCTTTGACTGCCAGAGACCACAGCAATCACTCCAATCAAGTCTGTTTCACCCTTTGCCTGTATTTTCCTCTCTCCTGGTGTCAGTGATGTCTCTCACATACTTTATGCAAGTTTTTGTGTTTTGCCTAGAACAAAACCTAGAACAATGTAGTAAAAGCCCACATTTGGAGGTCCTAAGGACATGAAAAATGATAAGCACAACAGCAAAAAGAGTTAAAAAAAACAACAGCAGACTAACTCACGACCACAGATATAAATAGATATATGTGCATATAGCAAAACACAATCTGACATTGTTTTTTTTTCTGCACTGCACTAAACGTTATGGATTTTAGCCTCCACTTAACAAACATAGCAAGTAACAGCTGTGAAATATATGGATGCAGCTGTCCCATGCAGGAGGCAAGAACAAAACCTGTGTACCTATCATGCTAATCCCTACAGAGTATATGGTCCATAGGGTCTGGATAAACTTCACAGAAAGGTACTAAAGGTACTAAGTATTTTTGTAAAGGTAGTAAGGTATTAAGGCCTTCTAAGATTAGCAAATCAGGTAAATATGAATAAATGTTCACATAAATATTTATAATACATTTCTTTAATGCCTGTCTTTGGATTTTGAACCTGATCATTTCCACGCTTCATATGTCTGAAAACAGAAGATTCAAAGACAACTCACTAAGTTCCAGAAATAAATAACCCATAAGGAATGTCAAAACTACTTTCTTTAGCCTTGAATGACAATGGGAAACAGATAAAGGGAGCCTTTATGCGCTTATCCTCCTTTACCCACGTCAGAAAACATACAAGCCAACCTACTCATAGATTCTTTAAAAAACGTGACATAAATATTAAAAAGCACACCAGAAGTTTTTCAAGTTTTATTGGAGACATGGAGACAATTAAGTTTCCCTAGATGAACTATTCATTAAAGCCATCTACATTAATATTTGTTAGTACAATTCAAGGACCTGTTTAAATGTTTCCATCTTGTTACCTCAGGCCTCCTGAATTTCCTACTTGGAGTATTTCACCTAGTTATGATTTTAAGGCTATAGCTCAGCAATCAAATGCTGCATGCTTAACATAAAAATCATCACCAGTACTTATGAATGAATTCAATGTGACTAAGAAACAAAGGCTATTTCATGTCCTCCCTATTGCTGCAACCGCTCAAGCACAGTAAAGCAATACAAATTACCTGATTTACCTAATTTAATATTTAAAAAAAAACCCAAAACAACAGAAAAACTTTCTCTTTTGCAACTGTACATGGAAAGCTGAAGGGCTGCCTTTTCAAGCTAAAAATCTGTAAGTAAAATTATGACAATATAAGAAGGTGATAATACTCATGATAATACTATCATTTCTTTGTCGCATTTTTAAGAAGCTGATTTAATCTTGTCTCATATTTCTCTTGCAACCTCACTTAAGATTTTTGAATCTCTGTAATCAGCAGTTCTAGTAGATGTCTACAAGCTTTGGATATTTGTAAGATTACAGTTGTGTCAGCATTGATTTTCAAGTACTTTACTAAGTCACTAGGCACCACTTTCACCTGGGACTCAATCCTGAGCCAGCAAAACCAGGACAGTCTTCTGCTACCCTGTGTCCACAATCAGGTAAAAAAAATATTACATCTGTATCAAAGCAGGAAAAGCAGTATCTTAAGAAAGCAGTACTGCAGAATCTTACTTGTACAGTCAGGGAAATGGCTAAAAATAAATACTACAGGAATTTTAATTGCTTTGTTTTAAGAAGGGGGAAAGAAATGAACCCACTGCCCTTAGACTTGCTTTCAAAGTTATCCCAGCATCAGACTCAACTTCTCCATTTATGCAGGGAATAGTAAAATGGAAACAGCGTTAAACTTTATCATATTTTTCTATAAATTCAACTCTAATGTGTGGCACCAGAAGTCACCAGAAGACCTCATAAAAACCATTCCTACAACTTTATCTCTCACTTCACTATTGAGCTGGAGAGCCTTTGGATTCCAGTGGACGTTACAGAGAGAAGAAAAGCCAACCACATCAGCACTGGAGCAGAGCTGTCTCACTCTCTGTCAGTCATCATAAGCCACTATAAACATCTCCTCATTCCAGCTGGACTGTGAAAGACAGCTTGGATGTAACACATTCCAGTATTCAACTGCAGTTTTCCTAAAGTATCCATTCACTCTATATTTGAGACTTCAGAAATCTAACAGGAAAACACTTTACCATGAAAAGCTAGGAAACCTGAAAGCTCAGAATTAAAGAAAAGGAAATGAAGATTTCCTTTCAGTGATCAGTTTCACACAAAGCAAAATCTTGACATTACCAACCAAATTTCAAATTGGAAGATTTTTTGTCATTAATTTTTATTAATATAAAGACTTTTAATTTTATACATATTTTTATTTTTTTGAAATTAGTCATAACAAATATATACATGTAAATATTTAAAGCCTATTATTCTTAATAAAAATTTGCATAAGAAAGATAGTGAATCACTTGAATATAAGAACTAGTATTTAACTGTATTAAAACAGCATTTATATACAGTTTGATTTTCGTGATTACACCCAGGCTCACACAGCCACAGAATAAGGGGTCATTTAGAAAAGCTACGTATTCCTGCAGTGTACAGAAATCATTGGCTGAAGTCACATAGGCATAAGAATTATTTATCACACTTCTTTCCTAATAAGGGATATGTCAGCAGGCAGGCAGTGCTGCAGCTGGAACACACTATTCACCAGGCAATCATCATCCTGTGAAACACCACTATGCAGTTCTCACCAATCAGCATATATAAGTCTTGACACCACTCTACTTTAAACCAAAAATAGCTAAATGATTATATTTGTGAAAAAATAGCATGGCTCAATTCCTTCTCAAGCCAAACTGAGTGAGGGTTTTACAACTCATCTCAGATAAATATGAACATATTCCTCAGGCAACGATACTACAGGGGCTTTCTCTGTCAAAGAAATATTTTAAATTCTTTATCAAACAGTAGTCTCTTTCTTCTGCTTTCACTGCTTTCATGTTGGTATCATGATTTTCAGTACTGCTTCTCTTCCCAGTTTGTATGCAATGAAGTTCCATTAAATTGGTAGAACATCTGCTTTTTAGCTGCACATAATTATCACACATTCATATCTGTACATCCAAGACACATTCATCATAAAAACAGATTAGTAAGAAGTAATCTAGTATAACATTAAGCTTGACCGCTGGTGCATTAATTCACACTCAGCAGTTTCAATTCAGTTACTCTTGCCTCCATGAACAACCTCCGGTAACTCTGCTATCTTTGGTTTTGCCTTCTTGAACAAATCAAGGAAAGAACTAAAAATGATTGAAAAGGTGGCCATTTCTGTAGGGAAGAAAATGGCCTGCTTTTACCATAATTATGAAGAAAGTTCTGGCAATGGCAATTCAGGCTGTTTTTTCTTGTCAAACCTTAAAATCTTTTAGACTTAACATTAACAGCTGGAAACAGGCTTATCCCATTAAATCAGAAACTTGTCAAGGCTCTGTTGAGAAACTGATTGATCTAAGTATCAGAGCTATTAGAGCTCCCCCACAGTATCAGACCATTCTGTTACTGACTGCCTTTTTAGTCTTAGTTAGATGGTTAGTACTGGCAGCATTTTATCTGTGAAGATAACAGAGGTGTCTTTGTATTCCTCCTCCCTTCCCTCCTGTTTAAAAGAAAGGAAAGAAGAAATATATAATGGCACATGGAAGGAACAGCGGGGTT